TGGAGCAAGGTATACAAAATCCTCTACTGTTTAGTAGCAATATTGCCTCTAGAAGATTAAAATTACTATTAGTTAAAGTCTAATTCTTATATGTAATATTTTCAGTAATGCTGGTTGTATGTCTGGCTTCTTACACTTCTCACATATTGACTTGAATGCTCTTCACTCTTATTTCTCTTTAGGACTTTTAACTCCACTTTGCTAATGAAATTGCAGTATTTGTTAAGAAAGAGCTATGAGATTGATTTCTACATTTTTAGTGGGTTGAAGGACCACAATTGTACGAATTGAGAACTACAGTATGTTGTATTAGGTAAGTATCTTTTGGTGCGTTGACAGACAAACCACAGCATTTCAGCGGCTTTGCACGTTCGAAGTTTTATTTCTCACACACACAGTGATCTAACATCAGTGATGATGGTGACGATGGTTGTCAGGTGGCTTACCTCCTTGTCTTAATTTATGTCATTGCCTGGGGCTTCAAAATTGTCTGCTTCACCTGGTGGAGGAAAAGAGAGAGAGGTGCATCTAAACCATTTAGCCTGCAAGTGATACACATTTCTTCTACTCGCATCCCATGGGCCACAACTGGGACCGCGTCTGGGAACAAAACAAGGGAGGCTGGGAAACATAGTCCCTCCAGACAGCTGCCCTCACCCGCCTTCCATAATAATTTGCAGAAATATAACATAGGAATTAATTAAAAAGCAAACCATTTCTGCCACAAACATGTTGCTTTACTCTGGCATTTCCCCAGCTCTCAAAATTCCAACCGTCTGTTCAGTGATGGCTGCATGGCTCGCTTTTTGTATTTACAAAGACAAACTTTAGTCAAAGTCTAAGGAAGTCTTTCTCTTCCTGAGATGTAAACAGAAACAAAATTGGCTTCAAATCTTTAATATCTGGAGTAACAAGCCTAAATGAGATACCTCTTGGGTCCAGATCATTTATCTGACCCACAGAGAAAAAGATTGTATTAGTCCGTTTTCTGTTGCTTATAACAAAATATCTGGAACTGGGTGATTATAAGAAAACAAAATTTATTACTTACAGTTTTGGAGAAGGGAAATCCAAAATCCACAGAACACATTGGGTGAGGGTCTTCTTTGGTGGTGGCTTTACAACAACGCAGGGGTCTCACTTGGCAGAAATGGAGGAGCAGAAAGAGAGACTCATGTTCTCTCCTTTTAAATCCATCAGAACCACGCCCCTGACCCCCATTATCACTCCATTCACTACAGCATGATTCTACAATGTAATCACCTCTTTAAGACCCTATCTTTCAATTACCATAATAGGATTTCCCACCTTCAACAGTTACAGTGGGGATTAAGCTTCTACTGTATTGACTTTGGGGGACACAATTCAGTCAATCCACAGCATTGTTCTTGCTTCATTTGTGTTAGAGAAGAGTTCTCAAAAGAATGAGAAGGCATGTGATGAGATAATTAACAAATACTGAAAGTAACTTCACACCCTAAGTGAGGATCAGAGCATGCCTGCGGGCTGAGGAGAGGACAAAGAAATGAGGGTGCCTGTGGCTTTCAGATGGCCTCAACCTGTCTTCTACCCAAGTTTTTATCTGTTGCCACCTCCTTCACAGTGCCCACCAGATCCTCCAGCATCTTTTCTGTACTGCCCTATTGCCTTTTGCCCTTTTTGTGCTTTTGTCAGATTGGCCTGAATTGTCTGGGGCATCTTTTGTCTGACCTTTCTCTCACTGGAAAACTCCTCCTTAACTCTCAAGATTCAGTGCAAAGATTATCTCTTCCATGAAGTGTTTCCTGAAATTTCTCCAAGTCATTAGTTGATCTGGCTCACTGCTTTCATAATACTTTGTAATTATTTTATTATAGCAATTAATCATACTGCGTTTCAATCACTTTTAAGAACTGCTTTCTAAGGGAAATCTTGGTCCTATTTGCAGGGATTTCTTATCCTGTCATTGTATAGAGGTTGAAGGGTTTAGTTCTTAAGGTGAGAATCTTGGCTAGCTTCTCCAGTTTTTGTAATTGAAATATATTGAGTAGTATATGTAAATATCAATATATATAATGCATATATATATGACATAGTAAAAATAAAGCAGTAGGAAAAATAAGTTCAAGAAATTTATCATACAACATGATGACTGTGTTGGAAATAAATTAAAATGTAGGGGGGACATAGAATATAAGTAGTAGAATTGTAGGA